TCGATTTATCGCGTCCAGACAAGACGCGATAAATCGAACCCAGAAGTTCGATTGCCTGCCGCCGAACCAGCGCGGTAAGTATAGACAAGCCCTAAGAACCAGAAATCTGTGTCTGATTTGTGATGGTATTTTATTTAAATTGATTTTGCTGCATTTCTGAGGCTAGCATAGAATAGCTATGTACATACTATAGTAACAACATTTAATGGCACCATCAAGAGTTAACATGCTATGCAAGATCTGCTGTCCTCCTCCCACATTGTGGAAGATGCATGGTGGCCCTAGTGTAGCCTCAGAACTGCTGCCACTCGAAGGCATGGCCAAGGAGAAAGATTTCTTTCCTTCACGCAGGTACCAGTGCACACACTAGTACAGAGGCTGGGAATCAGATGAGAAGATTTGGGCCAAAGTGTTGCACAACAGGAAGTGGTCATAGGAATTGAAAAACAACTCACGTGCTTTGAGATATTTAAAATATTTGTCATACCTGGCACATTTCTGTAATAGTGTCATCAAACACGCCCCCTGCATCATCAGCCCCTTCTCCAACCAATTTCACTTTCCAGGCACGGGAAGGTAGGCGAAGATCTGAAGCATTCAGCTTTACCACTTGTCTTGCTATTTGTACAAAAATAGGCTTACATTTCCGACCTCTTCAATGAAAAAGAAAGTGACAGAAAATGTAATTCACAGAAAGATCACTTTTGTATACTCTAAAGGCTTATCTACATAGTAGGGTAATGCGCACTACAGGGGTGATTTCTAAAGCACGCTAAAATGTTGTGTGTTAATTGGTCCAAACAGAGCCTTCGTGGTGCGCACTAGAGGCTCCAGAGTTCACTTTAATGGAAAGCGCATGAGAGAGAGCCTTTGATACATTATAGCAGGGTCTACATAGACCAATTAATGCACACAGAACCGGCCCCAGGATTTTTCCCGCCCCAAGACAAAAAAAAAAAAAAAAGACCAGAGTGCTGCCCCTTGAAAAGTGCCGCTCCAAGCACATGCTTGGGACGCTGGTGCCTAGAGCCGGCCCTGAATGCACAATATATTAGCATGCTTTAGAAATCACATCCCCATGTATTAACCCACTGGGTTGACTTAGGGCTTGACATCAAATCTTTCACAAACACAAAGGAGCCAATACTGACCTGGTTGATATTCTTTTTACAGTAATTTGAGGCCCGTAGTTTTTCCCCTGAACCATGGTTTTTCCAATGGAGCGTACCATGGGAAGTGTGTAGACTCTTGGTGCCAATAATGGTCTTAGTTGTCCTTGGACTATTCCCCATGTTCCAGCATTGTAATGAGATGTGCTGTTCTGTAATACAACAGCATATGCATAACCATAAAATGCTTTACTTTATTCATATTAATTCCAATATTTCTGGAATAAGAATCTCCATAATTAAATACTACCTGAACTTTCCTCATAATAGTTCAGAAATTGATGAAAATACACAAAAAGAACTACATAAAAAGGGATTTTAGTCTTACCAGAATCTTACAAAAATGTTTCTCACCAATTATAGATGTTAGGCTAATGGGCTTATGACATTAAGACTGAAATGTCAAGATTCACATAAATCACAATTTATTTAAACTATTTTTGGGAGAGATTGATTTATTGAAGTTTTTATTCTACAGACACAAAGACAAGAGAGCACTATTACCAGAATTGGATTTTGGGGGAGTACACTTTGGTGACAGGGCACAAAAATAAATTTGTTAACTCATTTCAAAATAATGTTTTACCTGGTTATTGGGGCTGAGATTAAGTAATCTCCATGAAGAGTACATGAGGTCTGAAAAATGATACAGCAGTCTGAGTCTCGCTCTCACTGTATGAATGCTCACTTCCTTCAGTGCCCCATACTGTGGTGGAATGGCATCAGGTAAACCAAGCTGTAAAGGCACTGACACACCTACCACAGAAAACAAGAAATTATTTCATAAAGTGCCTGATCTTGCTCCTCTTTAAGCTAATGGCAAAATTCCTGTGGGCTACAGTGGAAGCAGTTTTGGGCCTATAGTGAAACAAATTTTAATAGACAAGAAAAGATATTACCTCACCCACCTTGTCTAATAATATCCTGGGACTGACACAGCTACAACAACACTGCATACAAATTTTAATAGGTTCTTGCTGTATTATACTGTATACAGGGACGTGCACTAAAAGCTCATAAAAGCCGAATAAAATATAATACAAGCAATCATCTATTCTTCACCTGGAGCTCTCGGTGGGACAGGTGGGGCAGTCCAGGCGGCACTGTGACAACGTCCTGCTGAGATCTGTCGAATATTCTTTCCTTGTAGAACAGTTATTAAGGTGGGTTCTCTGACATGGTTGGTATGGCCCAGTCCAAGCTAGCAATTTACAACAGATTTAAAAAAGGATGCATCATGAGGTTCTATTAATAGGACCAAAAATTAGCTTTATTATTTGCAAAATTCTCTAAGCAGAAGTTCAAAAGGAATAGGAGATGAAAACTGGTAAGATGACACTCTCAGCATATGCTGGGAGAGAAAACTTTTACTAGAGAACGTGATATAGCATTTACTAGCTATATTGCTTTAATATATTACACCTATGATTAAAGAAAATAGCTGCCTACATCAGCTAAATCACATTTAATGAATAAAATGACATTTAAATACAAAATGGATAAGCTATTCCATATAATTGTGACCTACATACCTGATAAGCTTTTAGACTGACTAATGGTTTATGATTTGTGACCAACTTTGTACATGGTGTTTTGCAGAATAAAAAATATATATATATTTTGTGATTCAATGGCTCATAATGACTGTTTAATAATGATTATTATTTGTGTTTTATTATTTCTGTGTTTGCTATTTAAAGTTGGGGTTTTTTTGGTTTTAATATATAAATTCCCACAATAGGCTTTTAAAATGTATCCTCTGTAAAAGAAAAACATTTATTACATACAGGCCTGTCTTATCTTACGCGGGGGTTCCGTTACGCAGTTAGCACGTAAAGCGAAAACGCGTATAGCCAAAACCCCATTGAGTTCAATAGCGGGCAAAATTGCCCGCACTACAGGCATAGTATTAAAATTGTTGTTTTTCTCTTTTTTTTTTTGGCCGACCGCGTAAAGTTGAAATCGTGCATGTTAAATGCACGTAAGATGCGACAGATCTGTATATTAGCTTTTCCTACTAAATCTCATTTGAATTTCGACGTTGTAGTGGAGGACATATAAAACGAACAGTCTTTTAGAATACAGACTATATATTTTTTTAAACCAAACAAATGTTTACCCTGCCATAAAAATACAATACTTTCACTACAGAGGAAGTCCAAGGCTTTTTCTTTAGGGATTAATTCAAAATAGCCTGCTCACCCCAACAATGCTGACGTACCAATCCCTCCACTATCCTCGGAACACCAGTTGCACACACTTCGAGTCTCCTGCTTAAATCTGCAACCCACAAAATGGTCAAAATGCCATCCCATAACCCAAATCCAACAATCCATGAATCTGCAATGGTTTGACAGGTACCACGGGACATTTTTTGGGTCATGGACCAAAACAGACTAATAACTATTGCAACAGACCATGACGACTCGCTGATAATAACTACAGCTGGTCAAAATGTTCAAATTGGCCATTTTTTGTTGGAATTTAGATTTTTCCAAATGGAAAAAAATTGATTAAATTTTTACAGTTTGTTTTCAAGTTTCAAATTGGTTGTAAATGTTTTATGTTTAAAAAATTAGATGAAATTTTGAGAAATTAGTAAAAGTTTCAAAAAATTTGTGACATTTTCACCATGTTTTCAATAATCTCTATTATAACATTTTTAATTTGGGGGAGAGGGGAAAAGTGCCAATACTGCATCGTATTTTTCTTTACTTACTCTTCACTAAAAGATTTCAAGTGCATCTAGGAAGCTGTACTTATTCTTATGAACATCTGAAATAAACATGATATTGTACACACCTGCCCTTCTGAGTTGCTACCCCAGGCATACACATCACCAGATGATGATAAAGCTAGTGTATGCTCTGCTCCTACAGCTATATCTTCAATGAATATTCCTGACAGCACTGGAACTTGCTGTGGTCTGTTGTGATTTCGAGCTCGGCCCTCAGGCAAGCCAATCAGCCGATCTAAAATTGCACAAAAAATTCTCATGTAGTACATAAACACCACAGTCCTTTCTAAGGGCTAATTTTATTATGGGGAGAGAGAGACAGTATTCATGTAAGTGGATACTAATGGCATTGGCTAGAAACAGACCTAGTGGGCACTTATTTCCCTGAAAAGCTTTGTCAGTATCCCTCAGTACTGATCTGAATTTCCTGCTATTTGTGTTGTAAGCCTGATTCAGCCAATCACACCTTTTGGTGCTAGACTGTACAGTGATTTTGTGATTAAGGTTGATGTCCACAAGGAGGTAAATGAAGAACATTCAACTAATTTCACTTGAAGCCTAAATTCTATAGATTTCTACACAGCCTCTGTAAGTGCATGGTTAATGACAGTAATTGAACATGGGCACAATCTGTACCTCTGTTCATATCAAATTTAATCAAGATTTAGGAAAAAAATCTGAAAGGTTACAGGTAAATGAGGTTAGTGTTTATATTAAGTTTGTCTTCCTTGAAAAATAAATACACAACTATTAATTTGGATTTTAAGAATGCGTCAAAAAGTAATTTGCTTCAGAAGGTCACATTTACATGAGACTCTAGCACAATCTGTAGAGTAACACTGTATTATGATTTCATATATTTTATATCTAATATTCTTCCTTTTTACTTTTAATGATTATATTAGTGGTTATGCAACAGTGGTGGGAATTATAGACTAATAATTGCCAAGTCTATAAATGATCACTTATGTACTGTATGATTGGGCGGGTATCATATGGTGGGGTCAATAATCTAAAACATTATTGGCTTCTATATAGCTTTAAACGTATGAAAGCCTACAATATAGAAATCCCTCTATATGGGCAACTTACCTTGTCCAAAAGTATATACATGACCATCTTTTGTCAATGCAACAGAAAACTGCGTTCCACAGGCAACTTTCTTTATTCCAATTCCACAAAGAATATCCACTTTCTGAGAATAAGAAAGAAAGAGCTAAATACTGTTCTATGAGTATACATATGGAAAGTAGACAAAAAACTCCTCCATTTCCCCCTCCCCCCAAAAAGTGGTTTATAATTCTCAGAAAGACAATTTGTGTGTTATAGCTATAGTGTGGTTCTTGTATTAAACTTGAATGTATTAAACAAAGACACTAATATCTTGTAAAATGTAATTATATTAACATATTATTCCACGTTAAATGAGTCTGAATGCATCTCTATACTGAGGTAAAAATCTCACTCCTTCAAGCTAACCTTCAGGTTTCTACTATTTCTAGAGTTGCAGAAGGGTGGTTGCTATGGTTTAGAGAGACCATGGTTGTAATTATTAGTCTCAGGCCTGATCTACACTAACCCCCAATTCGAACTAAGGTACGCAACTTCAGCTACGATGTACCTTAATTCGAACTTACCGCGGTCCAGACGTTTAGTTTAACAGAACAATGGATAATTGCTTGCATGCTAAGCACTCAGGTGGGAATTTTCAATGGAAGTTGGGTGCCTAATTCCCACAGGCTCCTTTGAAAACCCAACCCTCAGATACCAGTGTTGTAAAAATACCAGCTAGTTATTCATGTAACTATACTAGTCAATATATTGCCTTAGTAAAATTTTCAAAAGCAGCTAAGTCCCACTGAAAGTTACTTATGCCTTTTTGAAAATTTACATCATATAAAAAATGAAAACAAAATAAGTTGAAAATTTGCAGACACACACTTACAGACATTAAACAATTATTCAAAGAATAATTTCAGTATGAATTCTAACCTGTGGTGAGGATTTTGCTGTGGAATTTCCCAGACCAAGTTTTCCATAATCTCCATCTCCAAAAGCCCACACCATTGAGCCATCTGTGGACACAACTACAGTATGGTTTAGTCCACAGGCCACCTGGTAAGTGTAATATAGTTTTAATTAGTTTTTCATCAACTTACTGATACAAAAAATAAAAAGCCACATTCTGAAAACAAAATAAAAAAACCTGAAACCCTTTTCTAAACATTTAGAAAAATATGTTAAATGTTAAAAACCTTTGTTTAAAATTTTATACTGATGGTATATAATAGCGTTTATACATTAACACCCTTAAATAACATTCTTTAGACAGTTCTTCCCTCACCTAAACTGTAGAACAGCTTTCAAATTATATATCCTCATTGAAGCTCTTTAAACATTAATTCAGTAATGGTTAGGGCTAAAACAACGAAGACTAATTTTATCACTCTCTTTTTCACAATTCAATGTTTATAAATGTTGTAAAATGGGGACACACCACTGCAGCAAAAGGATCAGATTATTCAATAAAAAATAATGAGAGATTATTATGGTTAGATATTTGAGAGTTCTGAGTGTATTAAAAATGCAGAGGCAGTAAAAACCATCAACAAAAATTATAAAGAGAATTCTTAAACTGACATTACTAAGAATCATATAGCAACTGAACATCCTCAGGCACAACAGTTACTAACAAAATACATTTTGTTACATAATTGCATGTAAGTAATACTAGATAAACCATGCCTGTCCAATCTGATAACCCTCCAGTGCTGTCACTCTTTCAGGAAGTTTCTTGTTGGAAGTGTTTCCTAGACCCAGTCGACCATAGTCACCATTTCCAAATGTAAACAATTTGCCATCCGCGGTCACCACTGCTGAGTGTTTAAAGCCACATGACATCTAGAAGCCAGAATTAATATTAATTTTAAAATGGAATATTAGCACCATAGAATTCAAGAAAGAGGAGAACAGAACTTTCTGAATGCAGACCTAGTCATTCATTACAGTTTAAGAGGATAATTAAAAACTGGACTAACTGAATAAATTAGCTGTTTTACACTCTTCATGTATTTCAATAACAATGTCATAAAACACTTAAAAAGTCTAAATACAGGATGATATGGGGAATTAAAACATAACCAAAGACAGACAGAAGAGTTTTCCCCCCAACCCTCTCAATAATCAGTTTACACACTAAAGGAAGAAGTTTGAGTTCACTTGCTTCAATTTGTACCAGCACACCTAGCTGGGATTCTTATTCATATTTCTGTGATTACGGAATTCTTTAAAAAAGCATGCTAAATGATTTGCCTTGCTTTCCAGTGTTACATTACCAGGTCAATTATATACTGTGTAAATTCTGTACCCCTGTCTTCTGTTTCCCATCTTAGTCTCAAAAGAATTACTTATAGCAAAGACCTTTGTTTCAATTTTTATTTTAAAATTTCCCAGGAATTTATCAGTGTTAATTACAATGTTTTTTTTAAAAAAGGGTGAAAATCGGAGCAAAAAATTAACTTCAGAGTTTTCTGGGTAAATATTGTGGGATGATAGGACAGATAAAAAGCACAGATTTACCTAGTGTAATGTATTGGATTTTCTTAATATAATCAGTATTTTCAGTGGTCCAAAATTTGGATGAGAACTAGTAAAAACCAAATAATAGCTTTTGTAAAAGCCAAGAATTTTTTAAATGAAAATAAGTAAAAACTTAAAATGAAGGGCCTTATCAACAGGGAAGAAAAGAATTCTCTCTCTTGGTAAAGAATTTAGACTCCATTATCCCATGTTTGTCAAATAATGTCACAATACAGTGCATAAATATGAGATCACCAGGTACACTATGTCTGATAAGTCAGCTCATCTCCTGGTTACACCAAAAATATAAAGATAGAGAAGTTTTCTAATGAACCACACTATGAAACACAAAATGCCTCCCCCTCCGTTTACAATATTATTCCTGCTCATATAAGTATCAACTACTTAAAAATTAATAACTGCCTACATATTACAGCATGTTTGAATGCAGAATGTTTTAAACTTTTATTTGAAATTTGTAAAATGTGCAATATTAACTACAGGAAATTTATAGTTTTTCCAAAACTAAGCATAAAGTTAAAAAGATGGTATTTTTCTAATGGTATCTTCAGCATAACAGTTCTTATTTTATTGATGTAAAACTACAGTAGTAATCATTAGCCAGTCACTATCTCATAGATGCGCAAAATTATTTTATATTGCAAATATACGAAAAATCAATGGTGTCCTATTTGTCCATGGTGAATGCAGACAAAAACAAACTTGTAGTGTTTTAATATTTGAACAGAGATGCAGCTAAGCATGACAATACAGTGGTTGCCTTACAACAATCAACACAGTATGTCAGTCACATTTCAGTCAAACTGAAACTGAACCAAATGATAGTATATATGATGGTAATTGAGATTAAAATTATGTACTGTCAATTATTCAAGCCAATATAGATATATTGCACAGGTGAAATCAGCATAAATGCTTGGGCTGCAGTTCCTTAGTATAGAAGAGGGAGCTGCCTCAGTGCATTCTCCACAAAGTGCCCTCAATTTTGGAACCAACTCCCCAACTTGGTCTGAAACAGCCTGAATTTCTTGACCTCCAGGGCATGCTGCAACCTTGTTTATCTACCCAGGGTTTTGAGGAGTGAAGGTCAGAAAAGGGGCTGATATTTGTATGGCAATAAAAATATTATTGGGATTGATTTTTATTATATTTGTTATTGTGTGTGTGTGGGTGCAGGCTAGCTGGTGGCTTTGCTTTTAATTTGATTATAGTTTTCATTTTGGTTAAAGACACCAACAGCCAAAGACAGGCACTTTTTTGTATATTGTTACAATGCACATCAGTACCAGTACTGTATTTCACTATTTAAGCGAATTTAGAGCTAGTGAAAAAGGCTAGTTTGACATAAGAACGGTCATACTGGATCAGACCAATGAAGTATCCTGTCTTACAACAGTGGTAAGTGCCAGATTCTTCAGAGAGAGTGAACAGAACAGGGCAATTTATATAGTGATTCATCCCTTGCCATTTAGCCCAGATTCTAGTGGTAAGAGGTTCATGGACACCCAGGGCACGGGATTGCATCCCTGACTGTTTTGGCTAACAGACATTAATGGACCTATCCTCCATGAATTTATCTAATTCTTTTTCAAACCCCTTTATACTTTTGGCCTTCACAACAGTCACAGCAATGAGTTTTGCAGGCTGACTGTGTTGCGTGAAGCAGTACTTCCTTTTGTTTGTATTAAACCTTCTGCTTATTAATTTAATTGGGTGACCCCTGGTTCTTGTGAGGAGGTGTAAGTAACTTTCCCTATTCGCTTTTTCCTTGCACTTTCTCATGATTTTATAGACCACGATCCTATTCCCCCTCAGTTATCTTTTTTCCAAGGTGAACAGTCGTAGTCTTTTACATCTTTCCTTACATGGAAGCTGTTCCATATCCTTAATCATTTTGGTAGCCCTTTTCTGTACTTTTTCCACGCAGTATTCCAGGTGCAGACATAACATGGATTTATACAGTAGCACTATGATATTTTTCATCTTATTATTTATCCATTTCCTAAATGTTCCTAACATTCTGATAGCTGCTGCACAGAGAGCAGATATCTTTAGAAAACTATCCACGGTGTCTCCAAGATCTCTTCCTTGAGTGATAACAGTTAATTTAGACCCCATCATTTTGTATGTATAATTGGGATTATGTTTTCCCAGTGTGCATTCCTTTGCATTTATCAACACTACCGTTCATCTGCCATTTTGTTGCCCAGTCACCCAGCTTTGTGCAATCCCTTTGTAACTCTTTCACGGTCTGTTTTGGACTTAACTATTTTGAAGAATTTTGTATGGTCTGCAAACTTTGCTTCCTTACTATTTACCCCCTTTTCCAGATCATTTATTAATACGATGAACAGCACTGGTACCAGTACAGATCCCTGGGAACCCTGCTATTTACCTCTCTACACTTTGAAAATTGTTTATTCCTACTCCTTCTTTCCTATTTTTTAACCAGTTACTGATACATTAGTGGACCTTCCTTCTTATCCCATGACTCTCTTTGCTTAAGAGCTTCTGGTGAGGGACCTTGTCAAAGGCTTTCTGAAAATCCAAGTATACTATATTCACTGGATCACCATTGTCCACATGCCCGGACACTGTTAAATAATTCTAATAGTGTGGCGAGGCATGATTTCCCTTTACAAAAGCCGAATTGCCTCTTTCCAACACATTGTATTCACCTCTGTGTCTGATTCTGTTCTTTACTATAGATTACACCAATTTGCCTGCTACTGAAGTCAGGCTTACCGGCCTGGTAATAGCCAGGATCACCTCTGGAGCCTTTTATAAAAATGGGCATCACATTAGCTATCTGCCAGTCATCTGGTACAGAGGCTGATTTAAGCGGTAAGTTACATACCACAGTTAATAGTAATGCAATTTCATATTTGAGTTCTTTCAGAACTCTTGGCGGTCTGGTCCTGGTGACTTATTACTGTTTAACTTATCAGTTTGTTCCAAAACTTCCTCTAGGGACCCCTCAATCTGGAATAGTTCCTCAGAATGGCTCAAGTGTGGGAATCTCCCTCACATCTTCTGCAATGAAGACCAATGGAAAGAATTCACTTAGCTTCTCTGCAACAGCCTTATGTTCTTTGAGCGCTCCGTTAGTGCCCAGCATGCCAGGATTGGGTTTTCTTGGAGTCTGGTTGCTTGGGAATGCTAACCTCCATCTAAGGCTAAATATTGGAAGGTGCCCTGGAGACTGAAAGAGGTGCAGCACAGACAGGAGCAATGGAAGCTTCACCAACACTACTCTACTAGCCCACCTAAACTTTGACACTCTCCCCTCCCCAGCATTGAGAAGATATTTCAGTTTCCATTCTCATTCAAATTTTCAGTCTTCCTGAGACTATCAACAATACAAACAAGAAAGCCAATTAGCGTGAAATGCAATGGTGAGTTTTGTGCTGTTGACACTCTTAGCTGGGAACTTGACTGAAACCACGACTCATTTCACATTGGCCAGAGAACCATGAGCTGATGATGACTTTTATTCATTACTTACCTATGCTGAATTAAATTTTGTGACATTGAAGAGAAAGGCTCCACATCCCACAGTCCCTGTGTGAGCAATCCATTTGCCCACCAGCATTTATTAATGAACCCTAGCAGCAACTATCATGTCTACATTTAATAGATGAATAATAAATTTGTTCTTGAACCTGTGCCACTTCTTCTCCTTGTAAGGCCTCTATTTGCCTGGGTCTGCGCTGTCTGTCACTGTTCCCATGGCCCAGTTTACCATAATCTCCATCGCCCCAGCTAAAGACCTCACCACTTTCTGTCAAAGCCATGGAATGTCCATCAGATCCACAAGAGGTCACTAGCTGTGTTACAACAAAACCTTTAACAAAATGAAAAACAAAATCAGAATAAGTTAGAAATATAAATACAATTATTTTGCATTGTACAAGATAGTCTATAATAATAACGACAAGCTTGTGAATGGAATCCGCTCTGTATATACAAGCCTGTATAAAGTCTTCCTTTTCCTTTAAGATATAACTTATGCTTGAACTGCTGCAATAACAAATATTATGTTATTAATAATTATCTAATTCTACTGTGATAGTCTATTAAGTTAGTTTAGGTGTTCAGTTACATAAATGTATTTCCTTTTTCAGTCCTACTTAAAATGATAAATAATAAGAGTTTAAAAACATTAAGTACAGCTTGAATAAATGCATCAAAAGAGACTTTAACATATGGTTTATTTGTTCAAATTAACATGAATATAAGATCTTTATTAAAGAGAGTAAATTATTTTATTCAGTAAATCTGTGTAAAGACTTAGACAATTGTCCTTTTAGTTTTTGAAATGCGAACTTCTGCCTCCTAATAGAACAACTCAAAAAAATTAAGACAATTTTACCTTGAAGTGCTGAAATAACAGTTAACACATGAAGGTCATCAGAATTTCCTTGTCCCAATCTGCCATAACTCCCTTCTCCACAAGCCAAAACTGTACCGTTAGCTTGAATGACAAAAGTACAGTTCTGACCACAAATAACCTGGTTAAAGAAAGAAATCAGTTTTTTTTAATGCAATTACATCACAAACCATGAACCAAAATGTGCTAACTTTGTCTTTATTCATAACCTGAATTGGGACTACAAAGCTGAAAACAACAGGTTTGGGACAACTACCAACATATTTCTTAGTTTAATCACTTAACTGTTACTTAACTTATTCCGAATTTAGCAGAAAAATATGTTTTAAACTAAGGGGGTTTTACCACGTAATCACATTACAATAAAATTCCTTCATTCAGTGTTTTGGGTGAAGCTGGCCCCTGGAGATCTAAAAATGGCACCACACACAAAGAGCTCTCTTCATGATCTAGCTACAAAGACTTTCCCTTTCATTGCAAAACTATTTGGTCTGGTAGCATGTTCTTCAGTGAGATTCTCAATGTATTTCTTGCAGCAATTTGGCGGTCGCATTATCTCATCCTATGCTCCAGCATTACGTTATTTCAGAAAGCAATCTTGCAATATGGATTACACCTCTACCTCGATATAACTCTGTCCTCGGGAGCCAAAAAATCTTATCGCGTTATAGGTGAAACCGCATTATATCGAACTTGCTTTGATCCACCGGCGTGCGCAGCCCCGCTCCCCCGGAGCACTACTTTACCGCGTTATATCCGAATTCGTGTTCTATCGGGTCGCGTTATATCAGGATAGATGTGTATTCAAAACCGTGCAAATATTTTTTTACATTGTACTCACTCTAATCCTAAGAAATGATTTTGCCAGTTTTGAACAGTTTCTTGGTGTGAATTTGGCAAAAACTAGAGCAAACCAATTTCGGGGTATAGCACCGAGTCCGAAAGGGATATTGATAGATATTTTGTAACTAACAACTGAAAATAAGGCAATTTGTGAAGAATAAAATGTAAATCTCTCCTAACACTGTTACCTGTTGAGCCTGTGAGAATGAAGGTGCTGCTACTGGTATCATGACATTTCTACCAGCTTCTGTTAGCTGCCCATGGCGCCCTGCTCCCCATAGATACACATCACATTTGCCACCAAGGTGCCAATCCTATGAAACAGCATAAAGGAGCACTTGAGAATTATATTGATAATTTTAGAATTTTAAATTTAAAATAATCAATTTTACTAACCTCAGGCCTTGATGTTGCCCAGGACATAATCTGCTCATCCATACCATTAATCCATTTACTGTTATCCTAAATGATTAAAAACAGATATATTAGGGTCAGCCCACCACGAGTACATTATTCTTTCAGTTAATAATCTTGATTTCCCTTCAAATAGTCACTTGGAAATGGCAAGCCTTTTCCTAGATGAAAAACTATTATCTGGGTCTATTACTGAACAACCAACTGCTTTTGAACATAAATGTAAAATAGTTTTAACTGTGACTAAAGCAAAATTTATGTACAAATTATTTTTATAAATTAATTCATATTCAATATTACTCATGTAAACTTGAATGTATCATTTTTCTCCTTGGGGTAGACCTATTTTTCTTAATACTGGAATCTAACATTTAATATTGTTACCATAAGAAAAAATTCTGACTCATGAGTGTCTAAAACTACTCATGGTAAAAAGGGTTGCTTTTAACTGTTGCAGTGGAAAACAAGCAAAGTGTGCCACTCAAAATAGGCGAGTAAAGGAAGATGTGACAATGGGTTCAAGAGATGTATAGAAACATAAAATCTGCCATGCACATTTGGACCAACAACCTGCCAAGTCTAATAGCATGCATCTTGCACTGGCATATGCCCAATGCTTCAGAAAAAGGCAAAACCCCATAGTGCTTTTGTACACAGAAGGGAATCCTTCCTGATCACTGTGATAACCTATGTGAGTATTTAAAAATAAAGGACTATGGTATATGTGAGGTCAATAGGTATATAGCAAGGAAAGCAACTAGGAAGAGCCATAGTTATGTTTTCCTCAAAGGGTGCCATGCAGCCTTAATTTTGGGAGTACACAAGTCAAAGTATTTATTTGCAAAATTATACAGACTTACTGATAAAATCTAATAAATACAAAGTTTCCACTTTAGGTTCACCTATCATAGCCCATTATATTGGCATTTGGTAGTGCCAATATAGTTAAAGTGTAGGACTACTCAGAAAAAGTACTTTAAAGATGACATAATAGGGTGCCATTGCCTTTCAATGACTCCATATAGAATTTACTCTGTCTGCATGTTAAAAAAAATGAATTAATTGTCAGCCCTGCAAGCTCCCCTTGGAATATCATAGTCAAGACAAATTCTCACTGGTTTATGTAACAACAATAGAGGTTCTGCAAATGGAACTTTGTTAATTCTGTTGATTTGTAAACCAACAATTTGTCCAGCTTGCTTTTCTCTGTGTCAACTCTGCAGGTTAGACAATGTAACAAAAACTTACTGTTGTTAGTAAAGCAAGTAGATACGACTCTGAATACACACAGAAGGAGCAGATCTGCTAAACAGGAAGATACCACTTTCACACTATTACTTCTATTACAAACATTTATACGGCATCAATTGCCACATTTTATATCAATTAAAATAAAATCTCTGTACTCTCTTGGTATTTCCATGAAATAAAGCATAACAATTTACTTTTTACAAGCTTTTCAATTTTTTTAGCTAATTTTTACAGATGTTATTGGCACAATATAGTGCATTCTATACATATACTTAATAACTGGCAGAATGCAGTGCATATTACCATTAGAAGTGTAAGCTCATCCTCTGGCACAGGCTCCAGATCTGGAACAGTAAAGGATTCTGGAAACTGTGCTCCTTTGGCCAGAGCTTCAGCAGCTTTTATAGTAGTTGAAAAACATTCTAACCAGGCCCACTCTGTAGGATTCCAAGCTGAGGGATCAGGGAGGCAGTTCTGGTGATGAGGCGGTATTGGTGGATTGCACAAAAGCTGATCGAGGTGAAGCCCCACAGCAAGTGAAGCCAGGCACTGCATATAAGGGCTATGAACAAGCTGATCTCCACAGACCACATGGGGCTAGAGGGAAAAAATGGAAGGTCAACATATGAAGCTAGAGACATACTTTCATCACTTCAGAAACAGTAATTCTTCAAAGCTCTTTCTGTAGAAAAAAATTCCCAGAAAAACCCCTTTCCAATAATTTTCATTAATTTCGCTCACAATAAACCGAGACCATTTGTCAAAGTACCAGACTTCACTCTTATCCAGTATTCGACACAGAAATACTGCAAACATATTAACACGATTTCACTAGCAAATGCACTTCAGCATATTATCAGAAATTACCATTTTTTAAACAAGGTACTCAATATATCACAATATAAAACAAAATTTGTTTATTTCATTTGGTTTTTCTTTCTCTTTTTTCCCCCCCTTTCTTCTTTTTAAGTAGAATACAATACATACTGGAATAATTCTTTAACCTAAACTTCAAATTTGCAATAATTTGATGTAAATTATAAACAGTTTAAATAATTCTCTGAAAAGCATACAATAACTTTCTCTTCATTTTCTTTTGCATGTTAAGGAAGACACAAAATCCAGCTTTCAGACATGATTTTGTTTCTCTTTGGTTGGGAAGTTCTGAAGAATGAAAAGCAGAACTGGGGAAGTGAGCATTATTACATGCCTGAACGAAAACAACCTGAAGAAAAGAGGTTACTATGGCATTACAACACATGATGAATAGGAGATTGAGAAAACTATTGATGGTGATGGATGCTGTAGCCATAAACAGATGAGGGATCGCATCAGAGTACCAGCAAAATAAAGTACTTGTGACATACTGCTGTGCTCCTAGGCTTAAAGGCCTCAAACGAGTGGACAGAATTTGGATATGTGTTCGGGAAAAGGATATGTAGCAGATTTAACTGCCCGCTGCATGGAGTGCTGTATTGTACCCAGCTAGAGAGAACTGGATAGGTCTAAATGGAAAAAATGTACCTTGGACTGCAAATTAGGATGTAAAAGTTTAACCGGTTAACCGATAAGCTTGATGCTTATCAGTTTCTGCTTACTATTAAACTCCACCTGAGCAGAGCCCCAGGGATGGATCTGGCAGTGGAGCCCCAACAAAATGTGGGGGTGCTTCAGCACCCCCTGCACCACTAGCTCCGCAGTTATACGTTTAACTGTGTAACTGATAGAATTTTAATTGGTTACACGGTTATTGTTTTTACATTCTTACTCCAAATTGCCCACTGCTAAAAGTAGAGTACCATCCTAGTTTGTATGGAAATCTGCAATGAGGTTTTGTTATTGAAGGTCATTACAAAAGAAGACTAACTGATTAAAAAAAATGTCAGATACGTTTTGCAGAGTTTCCTATAACTATTCTGGCAGAGATTCTGTAGCAGACAGAAAAAGGACTTTACAAATATGATTCAGACATCTAATCAAATATGTTTTTTTCAAAGTCCACATGTTCTAAAGATAGAGTGTCTTGGTTAGCCATTGTTAAGAACTATATTAGAGTCAAGCCAGAGAAAAGGCGATTAAAGTAAGTGATGAATGTCTTGTAGGATAATGTCTGGTTGCAGTTCAGGAAATCAAAATAGCCTGAATCCAGTATCCATTTTGTCTGGTAATTCAATAACAATCCAGACATTGTTTTGTGTCAACAACAGATGTCATGGGTAGAATAGATCTAGATTTCAGTGTGTAACAATAAATTCTATCTACACTGCCCCCATCATTTATACTGCTCACACTGATGGGAGGACATGACACAGGACTGGCAATAGCAATAGGATCAGAATCCTTGTTTTTTAGTTAAGGCAGTTAGTTTCTTATTTTTAAAGAGACAAAGCAGAATAGTGCCACAAGAGACCAGCATCTTGCAGTGGGAGACAAAACAAGAGGAAGATCAGAAACAGCCTGACATCAGGAAAACGTAGTTCTGCTAGAGTACTCAAAAGAGTAACTGTAAATCTGTTGTCCAAAGGTGGGATTGAACCTCAACAAAGATTTCTTGGGTTGACTGTCAAAAGAATAAGACAGCTGTAATTCAAGACAGACATCTCATGTTACATATGTCAGTATTTGATGTTCTGCATTCAACTATTCTTACCTTTTCATAGGCATACTGTTCCTGAAGCATTATTGGCAAACGTTCCAAGAAAGCCCTCATGCAAGGGGCCACATTTAATCCTAAAACTCCCTGTTGTTTCAGTGCAGTCCTACATGTTGCAAGGACATGATTGGAAGATATCCACTCTGATGTGCAATTCACCACCAACACATCCTGTTCAACAATACAATCACCAGATACATTTTATATATCAGAAATTAAACACGGGAAACATGCTTATTCAGATCAATCTGACTACTCTCACTAATTGTCTTCATCCCAACACTGCTCAACACCTAAAAGTATCAGTGTGAATAAGTAACAATGCTGAGTGGAAAGAAAAATTATGTATCATTATCATCTCTGTATTTATATAACATTTACAATGATTGTTCTTAGACAGCATTATAAAATGGGCTGGTAGCACCTATTATTATTAAGGTTGCCTGATATTTCTCATTATAAAACCATTTTCAGTTTCTTATAACTTTGCTAAACTTTAGATGTTTGAGCTGAAGTTTTCTATGCTGGGTGTTATCCTCAAGCTCAAATTTTTAAAAAAATTTCAACCAAAATGGTTCAGCCATTTTCCAAAAACAAGGCTAGGGAAAACTACATCAAGAACAAATCATGCCCAACCAAACTAATTTCCTTTTTTGATAGGGTTACCGGGCCTAGTGGCTTGGGGAAAGCAGTATATATTGATTTTAGTAAGGTTTTTGACTCAGTCCCACATGACATTTTCATACACAAACTAGGGAAATGTGGTCTAGGTGAAATTAGTATGAAGCAGGTGCACAACTGGATGAAATACTATACTGAAAGTAGTTTCAACAGTTCACTGTCAGACTGGGAGGGTGTATCCAGTAGTACATAAAAACACCCAGCATAGAAAATTTCAGCCCAAATGGTTAAAATTTGGTAAAATTATAAGCCAATGAAAAATGAAGGTTACTCAGCAGTACCACTTACAGGTGAGTAACCTTCATTTCTTCTTCAAATCACCTCAGCATGTTCGATAGTTTGATAAATAGAACTGTCTTCCAAGTAAAGTGGGATGTGGTTTTCTAATTAAACAGTGACTGAAGTACCACTGTACCAAATTGAGCATCTGACCAGAATACATAATGTTTTGTTAATGTAAGATTAAAGCTCCATGTAGCAGCTCTGCAAATTTCTGCAATCGGAATATGCCTAAAGCAGCATGCCATGAAGGCCACCTTTGTCCTTGTGGAATGGGATCTAATCCCCACTGGGACAGGGACAGAGACTAATTTGTAGCTCTCTTCAATGCATTGCCTAAGCCACTTAGATAGTCTTTGTGAAGTAAATGCCTGTCCTTTATTATTTTGTGCATAAGAAAAAAGATCTGGTGACTTTCTAAACTCTTTAGTTATATTTAGATAGAAAGCTAAAGCCCTTTTAGCATCTAGTGTGTGAATCTTTGCTTTGCCTCAATGAGCATAGGATCTAGGAAAGAATACTGGCAGATTAACTGATTGGATGGGATGAAAATCGGTTACCATCTAGAATAAGAATTACAGGTAGGGGTGGAAAAATCACTTTGTCCTTGTAAAAAATAATGAGAAGTGGGATCAGCCATCATGGCCTGAAGTCTGTTTACTCACTCTTCTGGCAGATGTTATGCCTATAACAAATGTTGTTTAGATTAACAGGTAAAACCGTGAACATTTATTCAGATACTCAAAGGAAATCTTTATAAACTGAGTGAGGACTAGATAAAGTTCCCATGATGAAGGTGTATCTTTGACTGATGGATAGATGTTCACTAGACCTAAACCCTAGTCTCTAAGATATTCTGGGGTGGATCTTTCTCAGTCTCTCCTTTGAAGCTGTTCTATTTTGCATAAGTAATTAGTCATTAGGCCAGAGAGAGCAAGAAAGAATGACTCCATAGACTGGTAATTAGAGGACTCACTTGGGAAGTGGTAGACTCAAGTTCATGTCCCTGTTACAATTACTATTTAATTATTTATACATAGTGGAACAGCTTCAACAAGAGAGAGCCCCCCACCATATCATCTCATAGTCCAGTGGGTAGGGCACTCTCCTGCAATGTGGAAGACCCTAGTTCAAATCCACATTAGCCAGAGGGGGGAATTTACTTCGGGTCTCCCACATCCCAGGTAAGTGTTCTAAGCACTGGGCTAAAGATCAAAAGGGAGGAACCACTACTTCCTCATTTTGTGACTGGTGCCTCAGTCCTGGAAAAATCAAATTTTTTTTATAAGAACTATTTGGCAAATTCATGTAAAATTCACAAATAGTTTTGGCTAACTGAAAAATGCATTTTTCAAATTTCACTACAGGCCAAAAAGAAAAACTCACCCAGTTCTATTTGCAATAGGACTGTGAAGAAAGGTACTGTACAATGCTAAATTCTACATTTTCAATCTGAACACAAAGACTATTTTAACCTTCTGAAGCAGATATTTCTTCTAAGACAGACACATTTCACATCTCTCCCATAAAGAAGGGTGACATTTCTCACACACTACAAATTTCAAAATGACAAAGCAGTCACCTGGGTGCATATTTTTTAAATTAATTTCCCCATTTCTCTCTTTCTCATACACGAAGGCTGAAATCTAAACGAAGTTTTTAAACTCTTTTTTAAAGATAAGATGGCAGTTGAGAGTCAAAACAATGTATTCTGCATGTAAATAGACAAACTATGTACAGCAGAATTTTAATTACTCAAGCTCCTTTAATTGACAGCAAATATGTGTGGATAACATGGACTAAGCAGAACAGGGAGATAAATATGCTAGCACAGGGGTTGGCAACCTACGGCACGCATACCAAACACGGCACGCGAGGCGATTTTGAGTGGCACGCAGCTCCCTCCCATGGTCCCGGCCCCCAGCCCCACTCAGCCCCCCTGCCCACCGCTCTCCCCTGCGGGGACAGGAGGCAGAAGCTTGGTTCTGCGGCAGCCAAGCTTCCCCCCTCCCCCGCTTCTTCCCCCAGTGTGGTGCTTTCCTGCCCCTCTTCCTCTCCTTCCCTGCGCCAATCAGCTGATGGCCCTAGCAAGGGGGAGGGGGAAGAGCGGCAGCATGCACACAGGTCCGTAGAGGACACAGAGAGAGGTAGGGACGGAGCCTGGGGGAAGGGGGTGGAACAGGGCATATCCCTTCCAGCCCCCTGCCATGAGCTGCTCAGGGGAGGGGGCTGGGAGCACCCCCACGAGCCGAGCACCCCAGCCCTCTACCCTGACCCCCCCACACACACTCAGCCTTCTGCCCTGAATCCCCCACCCCTCTGCCCCGAATCCCCCCACCAACACACACCCAGCCTTCTCGCCCTGCACCCCCACAGCCCCATCCCTCTGCCCTGCACCCCCCATACCCCGAGCCCTCTGCCCTGACCCTTGAACCCCCCCCCACACACTCAGCCTTCTGCCCTACACCCCACCACACACCCCAGCCCTCTGCCCTGATCCCTGAATCCCCCCCCACACACCCCAGCCTTCTGCCCTGAACCCCCTCCCCCAGCCCTCTGCCCTGACCCCTGAAACCAACCCCCCCCCCAGGTCTGGGGTCCCGGCCGCAGGCCCTGCTCAGCCCGCTGCTGGCCTAGGTGAACAGAACCCCAGGCTGGAAGCAAGCTGAGCAGGCTGGTGGCGTAAGATCAGCATTTTAATTTAATTTTAAATGACACTTCTTAAACATTTTGAAAACCTTGTTTACTTTACATACAATAGTTTAGTTATATAATATAGACTTATAGAAAGAGACCTTCTAAAAACGTTAAAATGTATTACCGGCACACGAAACCTTAAATTAGAGTGAATAAATGAAGACTCGGCACACCACTTCTGAAAGATCCCTGTGCTAGCAGTTTGTTAGAAAGAAATGTTTGGGTAAATGGGCTTCTTTTTGTAATAAGAACCTTCCCTTACTGCTCACAAATTTAACTCAAAAGAACAGCACTTTAATATACAATAATACCTTTGATCTATTTGAGCAAGCAGCTACTCCAACATCAGGGATCCATACTGCAGTCTGAATAGCTCCAGAACCGATCACAACACTTTGTAATACAGAGCCATCCTAAACCAAGAAATCTTTTAATCAATACACATATTTATTTAAACATGTGAATTTATCATCCTGTAGTACCGTAAACACCCCCAAACATTTCAATTAATGATTATTTAAAGTATTTTAAACCCCTTGAACTAAAATTCCTACACGATAGTCAGAAAGGCATATGCATTTTCCAAAAGATATTACTAAAAGTTAAAATTAACATTGATATAACATCTTCAAAGTGTTTTACACAGTCTCAACAGCCTGTGAAGAAGGCAAGTATTACTCCCTTTTTTCAGAGGGGAGAAACAAAAGCATAAACTGGCTAAGGACCTGAGGTCATAAATGACCTGACCAGGCACATAATTAATCAGTTGCAGAGCCAGGATTAGAATTTAGGTATTTATTCCCAAATCTTGTATTCATTATTCTTGACTACACTTCCTCTAATTTTTATAAAGTATTTATCAAAGAAAACTATGAAGACATAAAATTATCCTTTTACTTCTGATCTTAAACGTACCTATTTTAACAAACTTTAAGAAATATAACTAAGATTTTATCACGGTTATTTGTAGTAAAAGTCATGGACAGGTAATAAACAAAAATTCACAGAAGCCCTTGACCATCCGTGACTTTTACTAAAAATAACGTGGGGGGAGAGCTGACGGGGGGATGACTGAAGACCAAGTGTGGGAGAGGAGAGCCCAAGCTGCAAGGGCTAACTGTTCCGGATGTCCCCACTGCCTGTGGCGGCTGGGATCTCCGGGTGCCGCCGCCACTCTAGAATCCATGAATTCTGTGACATCCATGACATAATCTTTGGGTAATCTTTAATATAACTCAAAGACAACCTTACCCGTAAAGACCAAATGTTCATGAGCCCACCGAGCCCACCAGACACTAATACCAGTCCATCAGAGCTGAAGGCCACAGTCCGAACAGGAGTAATATGTCCTCTCAGCTGATAAATGCACTTGGCATCCACTGCTTTTCTGTATCCATCCTGCAAATTATTTCATCATTATGACATACCCTGGACTACATACATAGAAAATTGTGAATAGAAAAGTGTTTCAGATTTAGACTTCTTTGCAACCAGTGTATAGATTTTCTTGGTACAACTACTTTTATTTTAATCAAGGAAAGAAGACTAAGGCACCATAAAAAAGGCCTTATGGAAGCATTCAAGCTGATACAACAGACTATGAGCACCTACAGTGACGATGAACTCTAAGTAAATATATCTAAATGCACATTTACTTAATAGACCTTAGTTTTATTTGTAATTATTTTAGTCATGTTTTATAAGGATGCCATTAACTTATTACCATCTATATTTTCCTCTTCAAAATACCATAAGCATTCAAGACCACATTACGGCTGGATCTTACTATTTTAAAGAACATTTTAGTTAAAATTAAGTCAAGTCAAATTTATATACTAAGAAACTTCCAATATTATTTTAGTTTTCTCTTTTGGAAATAACTGCATAATTTTAAAAGAACTAGATAGCATTACCAAATTTTAGCCAAGATCAATAGCTCTTGCAAATAAGTTGTTTTTAAACCTTGACCTCCCATTTAGAGTCACAGACCTTAAGACCATAATGGACCACCAGATCATCTAGTCTGACTTCCTGTATGTAACAACAGGCCACTGACAGCACCCAGCACCCACACTAAACTCAACATCCAAAATTAGAGCAAGAATTACAACCCACAGGAAATAATACTATTAGGCAGAGAATAGGAGGGACCAAGGTGCACCAATGCCCGAAGTACCTGCAATGGCAAGGAATTGATTAAGGGAAGTATACCCAGATAATCCTGGCAAGTGACCTGTACTCTAATGCTACAGAGGAGGGCGAATCCCCTCCAAGGTCACTGCCAATGAACCTGGGGGAAAATTCCTGAGCATGTGAGCAAGACCCTGAGCATGTGAGCAAGAATCATTTCCTGCCTTAGAAACACCTGCATGTGTGTAAGTACAGACAAATTAAAATAAATGTAACTTTTTTAAACTAAATGGTTTTCAAATATTTCCCTCTTCTCCATCTTCACCCATGTAGATATTTAAATATTTTGCTCCCATCCTTTCCTATAATCGTAGAGAAAACCATGGATACAATCAGGTTAAGATTTCTTAACATCTGCTCAACTGTCTTTACCTTGCCACTTGTTTCCTGTTCCCACCATCCTTCTGCACTACTTGAGCTGGACTGCAACATGATCAGCATATCCTGGGGAACACTCCAAACACACACTAAGCCATTCTGGCATCCTCTGAAGGAAGTTAGAATAAATCACATGAAAATAAAGTAAAATTGTTAACATACAGCACCAATCAACAAATATTCTAAAAGTATGTCAGTCTGTTATGATATACATTTAGAGCAAGGTGATTAAGAAAGATAATCTGCTTAAAAACAAAGTCCAGGGGCAGCAGATAATTTTTTAAAAGTTGAATACAGATTTAGGAGTAATACTCACTGAAAAAGTGCATTTTTTCTTTAACTCTTTCTTAATATTAAATTTTGCCAAAACTATTTTGTCAGCACCACTATGTTTAAAAGGAAGTTAGTGAAATAGTATCTCCAATACAAAAGGAAAGCTGAGGCAGACTGGAAAAAGGAAAAACTTGTTTTTCATTGTACTGTTTGAAATTTTACTATATTCTTTAATTCATGTATTTTTAAATAAAATATGCATATTGACAGTGATTTTTTTTTTATTTCTACTCAAAATATTTAGGAATATTCTCCATAGGTTTTCACCCTATTTTTCACATTAAATATTTTCATATTTAACCTAATACTCCCTTGCAATCATTGTGCATCAGAATGTATAGGTCCCAGGTATATTTATCAGCACAGGAAGTATTTGCAACTATGGACATAACTGGCACATTTCACAACAATGATTAGTTGATGTTTCCAATAACATGCAAACATACCACATTACGTTTTCACTGTGACAAATTCAAGTTAATTAACTAAGATCAGCCCTGGTCAGTACTTGGCGCAGAACTCTCCAGAGAAAAGCCTAGGTGGAGGGGAAAATCTGTTGGTGATTCAGTAAAGGGCACTTTTTGTATTTAAGTCAGTGCTGAACCAGTGTTCTACAATGCCCACAATGAACAGCTTGTTGAATTTTGTTTGTTTGTTTTTTGTTTAGGATGAAAGATGCTACATATACAGTTGCTATAAGTATTAATACAAAGACTACACAGGAAGTATTAAAGCAAAAACTTTAACATACGTAGCCAGTAACAACTGCAGCTTGGGTCCTTTCCCTGGAAGGTTGCACCAGGTAATACTATTCACAATAGCTGGATGGGAGAGTGAATGCAAACGTCTCCAGCATCCCCCCATATATCTCCAGAGTTTCACCGTTTCTTCTTTGGCACATGTCATGAGAATCTTACCAGTTGGATCCCACTTCACACTAACAATGGTGTCCTAAAGGATTCAAACAAGCAAACAAAAAGATTACAACATTCAGTGTCTTCATAATGTGACTTACGAATATGAACATCACACATATAAAACTAAACTTCCTTCCAGCACAAAAGTATTAAGCACTTGAACTTCATATACATCATCATATAAACTACAAAAAAGGAACTATGTTGATGATTTGATGCAGCAATTTATAACACAAATGAAGTCAGACCTGGTGGTTATCACAGTTCTATGAGTGCGAGAAAAAGAACGGTTACTCACCTTCTCATAACTGCTGTTCTTTGAGATGTGTTATTCATGTCCATTCCAATCAGGTGTGTGCGCGAGCACGTCCACAGTAGCCGGAAGATTTCCCCACTAGCAGCATCCGTGGGGTTGGCCTGAGTGTCCCCTGGAGTTGCACCTTCATGGAGCCCAATAAAGGGCCCTGCCAACCTGCCACCCCTCAGTTCCTTCTTGTCAGCTACTGCAACAGAGGGGTAGGAGGGTGGGTATGGGAATGGACATGAACACCACATCTGGAAGAACAACAGTTACGAGATGTTGAGTAACCATTTTTTCTTCTTCGAGTGCTTGTTCATGTCAATTCCAATCAGGTGACTGACAAGCCCAAGATCAGGAGGTGGGGTCGGAGTTGTCCACTAACTAGAGTACTGTTCGTCTGAAGGCCACATCATTTCTGGCCTGCTGGGTAATTGCATAGTGTGTCGTGAACGTATGAATGGAGGACGATGTAGCCACTCTGCAGATTTCCTGAGTAGGAACCTGAGCCAGGAACGCTGTTGATGAAGCCTGCACTCTGGTGGAGTGCGCAGTGATTGGAGGTGCAGGAACCCCCGCCAGGTTGTGGCACTCACGAATGCAGGACGTGATCCATGACGAAATGCATTGTGACGACACAGGCAGACCTTTCATTCTGTCCGCCACTGCTACGAATAACTGGATCGACTTTCTGAACGGCTTCGTTCTCTCGATGTAGAAGGCTAGCGCCCTACGGACATCCAGTGAGTGAAGTCTCTGCTCCCTGCAGCTGGAATGCGGCTTAGGGTAGAATATCGGGAGGAAGATGTTGTGGTTAATGTGAAACTGCGATACAACCTTCGACAGGAAAGCAGGATGAGGTCTGAGCTAAACCTTGTCCTTATAGAACACGGTGTAAGGGGCTCCGATATTAGGGCTTTACGTTCAGATACCCTTCTGGACGAGGTTATTGCCACCAGGAATGCCACTTTGTAAGAGAGGTAGAGGAGGGAGCATGACACCAAGGGTTAAAAGGGTGGTCCCATGAGTCTAGGAAGAACCAGGTTGAGGTCCCAAGCCAGGACAGGCTGCCAGACATGAGGGTATAGCCTGTCGAGACCTTTTAGAAACCAGTTGACCAAAGACAAAGTTAGCAAAGACAGAGCGGCCCTCCGCACCTGGGTGGAAGGCTGAGATGGTGGCCAAGTGAACCCTTATTGACGACACTGAAAGCCCCTGCTGCTTCAAATGGAGGAGGTAGTTCAGAACAAACAGCACTGAGGCTAGCATCGGGAACGAATGGCACTGTACCGACCAGACTGAAAATCTCTTCCGCTTGGCAAGGTAGGTAGCTCTCGGAGAAGGTTTCCTGCTGCCAAAGAGGACTTGTCTAACCTGGTCTGAACAGGAAAGCTCCACAGGGTTCAACCACAGAGCGTCCACACCGCAAGGTGCAGCGACCCGAGGTTCGGATGTTGGAGACGACTGTGGTCTTGTGTCAGAAGGTCCAGGAAGAGTAGCAGGGTGACTGGAGCTTCCACGGACATGTCTAGGAGAGTTGTGTACCAGGCGGGGCCAGGCTGGAGCTATTAATATGACCTGAGCTCGTTCCCTTTGGATCTTGAGGAGTACCTTGCGAATGAGCGGTATGGGCAGAAAGGCGTTTAGGAGACAACCTCCCCATAGGAGGAGGAAGGCGTCCGTGCTGGAGCCCAGCCGCACCCAGGCTGTGATTTTTGAAGGAGCAGAACTGCTGGCACTTCCTGTTGCGTCACGTGGCAAATAGGTCTATCTGGGGAAATCCCCACCTCTGAAAGACTGAATTTGTGATATCCAGGCAAAGGGACCACTCATGGCCGTGAAAGGACCTGCTGAGGTAGTCTGCCAACTCGTTCTATACTCCGGGAAGGCACAATGCTTGTAGGTGTATTGAATGTTCTACACAGAAGTACCACAGCATGAGGGCTTCCTGGCACAGGGGGAGAGGAGTGTGCACCCCCTTGTTTGTTGATATAGAACATTGCCATGGTGTTGTCCGTCATAACTGATACACATTGTCCCGTTAAGTATGCCTGGAAGGTCTGGCACACCAGACACAGTGCTCTCATCTCTCTGACGTTGAGGTGGAGAGCCAGATCTGCCTGAGACCAGAGACCCTGAGACCTGTGGTCTCCTAGATGTGCTCCCTCAGCCCAAGGCTGATGCGTCTGTCACTAGCGAAAGAGATGGCTGTGGACTGGCGAAGAGGACCCCTGAGCACACCTCCTGAGGGTTGAGCCATCACAGGAGGGAGTCAAGGACCGGGCGAGGCAGGGTCACGATACTGTCCAAGCTGACTTGGGCTAGTCGATGCTACCCATGACTGGAGCAGTCAGAGCCTGAGTCTGGCATGCTTCACCACGTAGGTACAGGCAGCCATGTGTCCCAGAAGCTTCAGGCAGTTTTTTGCTGTGGTGGTGGGAAACTGTCTGAGACCTCGAATGATACCGGCCAGGGCCTGGAACCTCGCTTCCGGCAGGTATGCCCTGGCTTGGGTTGAGTCCAGTACTGCCCCTATAAACTATCCTCTGAACAGGGCACAGAGTCGATTTTGCTTCGTTTAGAAGGAGACCCAGGTTGTCAAAGGTGGCCCTGATGAATTTGATTTGAGCTTCTACTTGGATCCTGAAGTGACCCTTGACCAACCAGTCGCTGAGTTATGGAAACACCTGTACCTGGTGCCTGCGCAGGAACACAGCGACGACTGCCATGCACTTGGTGAAGACTTGAGATGCTGCTGACAGGCCGAACGGAAGAACTGTAAATTGGTAGTGGGTACTGTTCATCACAAACCTGAGGTACTTCCTGTGGGGCTGAATGATTGCAATATGAATATAAGCATCCTTCAAGTCGAGGGTGGCATACAAGTCTGCTGGATCCAGTGAAGGGATGACGGAGGCAAATGAGACCATGCGGAACCTGAGTTTATTTACAAACTTGTTGAGTTCTCGCAGGTTCAGGATGGGCTTGAGGCCACCTTTGGCTTTCGGTATTAGGAAATACCAGGAATAAAAGCCCTCGCCCCTGTGCTCCTGAGGAACCTCCTCCACTGCCCCTAACGATAGGAGTGACTGCTCCTGGATAAGGAGTTGTTCGTGAGAAGCGTCCCTGAAGAGGGACAGGGAAGGGAAGTGGAAGAGCAGGAGGGCACAGAATTGGATGAAGTATCCCCTCTCTACCGTGAGGAGCACCCAGCAGTCTGAGGTGATATGGGACTATGCACGGTAGAAAGGGGATAGTCGGGACGAGAAGGTAAGGCGGGGTGGATCCAGTCTTTGGTGTGGTACACAGTCCTCGACTGTGCCTTCAAAAGACCAGTTTGGGCCCTGAAGGTGGCTTGGGTTGTCCCGAGCCCGGCCAGAGGGTTGACACAGCCTTCTCCTGCCGGTCCTATTTCTCCTTCAGGACCCGTCCTGGCGGTTCTGGTGACAGAACCGCTGAGAACGTTGTGGATGGAAGTGTCTCTGCTGCACTGACGGTGTATAGAGGCCCAGGGACCTGAGGGTGGTTCTGGAGTCCTTTAGGCTGTTTAACCTCTTGTCCATTTTCTCAGAAAAAAGAGTCTGACACTCAAAAGGCGGGTCTTGTATGTTATGCTGGACCTTATAGGGGAGACCAGAAACCTGGAGCCATGAGCCCCTTCTCATGGCTACTCCTGTGGCCATAACCCTGGTTGCAGCACAACCCATCAAGTGCCGCCTGCAGGGACGCCCTAGAGATCAGTCTTCCCTCCTCGACCAAAGCTGAAAATTTGGCACGGGAATCCGAGGGGAGGAACTCCATGAATTTAGCCATCGCCAAACAGGCATTGTAGGAGTACCTGCTGATGATAGCCTGCTGGTTAGACATTCAGAGTTGTAGTCCCCCCATTGAGAACACCTTTCGCCCGAATAGGTCTAATGTTTTAGCATCCCTATTCTTGGGAGAAGGGCCCCGAAAAGCCTTGCCTCTCCTGCTGATTAGCAGCGTCCACCATCAAAGATTCAGGCTGGGGGTGGGAATATAGATGTTCATAACCCCTGGAGGGCACAGAGTACCGGCGTTTGTTACACTTGGCAGTGAGTGGCAGCGAGGCAGGGGTCTGCCACAGGGTCTTAGTCATGTCCGTAATTGTCTTTATAAATGGTAAGGGTGCGAGGGGGCCAGGAAGGGCGCGAGGGGGCCAGGATATCAGCCATAGGGCCTGCATCATCTACCACTTCCTCTGCCTTAATGCCCAGAAACTGGGCAAACCGGCACAGCAACTGCTGCAAGTCTTCCAGAGCTGGGGCTACGGAAGTGCCCGCCTGTGCCTCATCTGGTGAAGAGGAGGAGGTGGCCACCCTCTACCCTCCCCACCTGAGGGATCTCGTGACCCTGGGGGAGACTGTGGTTGGTTGGCCCAGTCCTGCGAAGAGCACGGATATTGGTGCCAACGTCGGGTCCCACGCCAGTGCTGGTATAGACACCTAGGGTAGCATCTGCATTAGGGTCTTCATGGAAGCAGTCACAGCTGCTGTTGATGACGATGTCGGTGCCAGTGCAATCGTCGGTGCCGAAGGTGCAGCCGGCACCACAGCAGCAATCTGAGCCACTGACGCCTCCGGTGCCGAAGGCTTGTCGAGGGCAGCGCCACGGTTGGTGCTGATGTTGGTGATGGTGCCGTGGCCGCCGGCGTTGATTCTGGAAGTAATGGCTCAGTCGCTGGTCGTGGCGGAACAAATGTTGCGGACACCACT